CAGTCACGTGTTCTTACTTGACGCAGTGGTTTCCAAGGGCAACGACCAAGTCCCTAACCTACCCCACCCTACAAGAATGAACTCAGTCACGTGTTTTTACTTGACGTAGTGTTTTCCAAGAGCAACGACCAAGTCCCTAGTCTACCCCACCCTACAAGAATGAACTCAGTCACTATTTTTACCTGACGCAGTGGTTTCCAAGGGCAACGACAAGACCTCTAGTACCGAGTCCCAAGCGGTCAGTAACACTCGACGTCCAAACTTCGTGCCCTCTCTTTTAGCAGGAGTCATGTGACTTGACTCTTGCTGACGTAAGAACATATCGTTACCAGTCTCTTTATCCGCGTTGAAGATACTCTCCGACAGGAGACTTACAAGAGCTCGGTTTGTCCCCGGGTCATTGAGCTTGTAACCCGCCTTGCCGAGTATGTTGTAAGTGGTGACTAAACGATAAAGCTCTCCGAGCCATACCGAAGAAAGGCCCACCATGACCCCGCTGTCCAGGATACTATCTACGAACTCTTTCTGTTCAAAGAAAAAACAAAAATTCTTTGAGAAAGGATAAAAAAACTTCATGTCGACGGTTTTTTGGCCATTAATCCTGTCCTTGTTTAAAGGCCTGCAAAACGATATTCTTGAATTTGGATTAAAGCGTAGCCTCCGTGTAGGCCGACTTGGACGGTCTTAACCAGACTAGTCATTCTGCACGCCTCAATAAATAGTTATTCAGCTAACAGAAAATAATTTATGATGGTATACCTGTGTCAAGGGTGGTTCCACGTTGCGTTTCTGATAATGACCGCTCTTCAGTAAGTTCAATCCTAACGCCAGTGTCTTGTAGACTGTTAAATACACTCCATCCGCGTTAAGGATCGGGAAATGCGGATCCGACGTTGCTCCTTCACCTGACTTCTCATCAACTAAATCCGATCGTCCCCGAAGAGTTCCGAAGTTTGGGACGTTTTTTCTCTTGAGTGCCATACAAGTTACAGCCTCGCAAACATCAGAAGCGAACTGTTGTAAAGATTCATCTACTGTAGTCGTGTCAGTAAGACTCAACACAGACGGAAGGATACCCAGAAGACAACGAGCGAAATTCCGCGCGCCTTCTTTCTCGTTCTCTTCAACGCTCTTCTTCACCTCATTTGCTTTCTTGGCTCCAGTAGGGGCATTTTTAGGTGAGCTGTTAGGGCCCTGGTTGGTTTGTTGTGTCTGAGGGGCCTTGACGTTCATACTCCTCGATACGTAAACCCCATTGATTTTGACCTGTGAGCGAGGAGCGCTGTGTTTCTTGATTTGTTTGGGTGGATCTTCTGTTTCTGGTTCGGATAATGTCTTCAGTAAAATACCCTTTGGTTTAGCATTTTTTATTTCTTGCTTTCGATCAAAATCAGACGCCGACTTGGTTCGTCGTAATATAGGGCGTGGTCCTTTAACTGGTGACTTATCTTGTTCCCGATTGGCTCTTTCAGCTCTTTCCTTCGCCTCCAGTTTATTTGCTTTTGATTCCACATACGTTTTCCTGGCAGACAGAATCTCATTCGTTTTGAATTGGCCTTCGTTTGTTCTACTCTCCGACCACAGGGCATCTTCCCCCGGTCGGGTACTCGGTCTAGACCGTACATCGTTAAGTCTTGGTATCATTGTCTTGTTGAAATCCCGGGTGTCGGGTTCCTTCTCGAAACTCCAGCTTTTATTATCAGAGCTCAGCGCGGTCCATGAATTCGATCGTTTCAGAGGTAGCCCCAGTCCCTTCCTTGAAGACTTGTACGGCGACAGATCCAAGTCAGTTAAAGATCTCATCTCATTGAAACCCTGCTGACCATTGTTGATCACAGGCTCATAGTTTTCAGGTTCGCTTCCAACTGAACCTCGTCTACGAACAGGATCAGTCTTTGGTCTAGTGTTGCTCTCAAATGACGCAGATCGCCGGACGCTGGTCCGCGTTCCCCCTGAAGGACTGGATCCTACCTTACGTGGTAGGTTGCTACGGCGAGGGATTCCTGTGCGTTGGTTGTTGGATCGCGTTTGTTTTTCGTATGCTTCGAACATGGCTACCTCGTCTTCTGGTGCAAAGCACACACGTTTGGTTTGCAAAGGCTGTAATGGTCTGTTGTCGTTTTCTTCATCTGGACATTTGATCAGATAAATACTAAATTAATGCGATATATGGATATATGGATGGATGGGATATGTGAATAGATTGATTGAGGGAGGGAATGAAAGGATGGGCGAAAGAATGAGATAGATAGTGGAATAGATAGATAGATGTGATACATGGATTGAAAGGATAGATTGATTGAGGGAGAGAGGGAGGGATGGATAGATCCCATCCTTGTGGGATTTTAGAAAACAAGAAGAATACTATCAACTTCACATACCTTGCATTTCTTTCCTTTCTTCGCTTCCATACGACTCCCACACGTTTCCACCCTTTAAGAACCTCTCCGTCACAGTCCCAATATCTCCTTCAGGACTCGGTCTGTGTTCGCTACTCTCTACATCCCAAMGTAGCTGTCTACCTTTTCCCCTTACATCATGTTCAAAACCAGGTTGTTCATCAAACGTTTCGTCCGCGACTGTAAACTTAGGAACTTGTCTCGAAGACGCAGCATTGTCGTATTTCTCCTTTGCTTTGTAATCCTCATCCCAGTTTTCTGTTTCTTTGATTTGACTGAGAAACTCGATGTGTTCGTCACTCAAACCGCGACCTTGGCTAAGGTCTTCCAGAGAGCCAAGGAGAGCTACTACGCATGCTACACTACAGCTTGCCACTGTACTGTCATTGCAGTGCGCAGACTCAACAATACCATCCATTAGTCTGTATCACAATCATGGAAGAAATTAATTAGCATATTGATACATAATTACATACATATTGATACGTAGCCAAATCTCTTGCACAATATATTACTTACAGTCTTAATAAATCCAGGTCGGTCTTCTTTTGTTCCGTGGGGGAGTCGGGTGAGGGTGGATTGTCCTTGTCTATAACAGTCGGGCCTGCAGCGTCGAGAAGACGTTGAGGACTTGCTAAAATCTAGATGGAACCAGAAAATCATATTAAGGAATGGATTCTTTTTAAAAGTATAATGGATGCGAGGCTAACATGAAAATACAAAGAAATTATACTTTTCCTCGATGGAATTTGTGACATTTCTCTAGTTCGCCTCTCACCTCTGGGGTCTCAGGTTTGACGTAACATATTCGTTGGGTGTCTTCTTTGATTCAGGGGTTTTTGTCCGGTCTTACTTGGTGTTGCAGGATGTATTGTATTCTGGGTTAGGGTTATTGTATTGCAGGGTATTGTTTAGCTCCAAACTCATTGTTCTCGGATATTGTTTTATTGTCTTCATGGCTCAGGTGCCCTGCAACACCAAGAAAGAGCCGGTTTTCCTCCCTCAGTAAAACCCAACACGCTTAATACCAATTCAATCTGAGATGGCTATTTTTWAAAAATGACGAAGACGAAGATTGATTGACGTACCTCCTTGATAGCTTTTAATGCCTCCGTCCTCTGGTGCGCAGGAGGATAGAGAATGATACGATGGAACAGAGACTCCAACACAGGCCTCATCGCTGCCAGAGGGCCTATAAGACGCAGGAGCTCATTTGCAATGTTATATATAGTCCTAGGAATAGGGCCCACTGCGGGCGAGGCCTTTGGAAACCCTCCGCTTCCTCGGCCCCCTCGATTAATGTCCTCTGTGGATCCTGTTCCAGGTTTGGACTTCCTGCTGAGGTCGGTCATTGGACTTCCTAACAGTTGGATCATAGCCGGGCACAGAAGTTGCCTGAAAAATACAAGGGTTTGGTCAGCCAAAGGCGACATAAACGTGGTAGGGCATCCCGTATTAGCCTGGCTTAAGGTTTCGATACTCAGTGCAAAAGCCAACCTTGTCGTGCTTTTTATTCCCGATAATGGACGCCCTAAGTTTAGGCGTCATACCTTTCACTATTTCAGACCACATATCATTCCCTTGAGCAGCATTTCTTTCTTTATCTTGAGGCGTAACCTTTTCCGATTTCAGGCCACGTCATGTCAATCCCTCAAAAGCAAGATCCTTGGTACCCGTTACGAATAACCAATATAATAATACTCAATAGATTGACACTTAATTGCGTYCAAACTAAAGATGTCCGTTCCAGCTTACCAAATAACAGTAATAAATTCCTTGTCGTTCTGTAATGACGTGGACAGACTTCCAAGCATGACGAGGATGGCTTCCAGGTAAAGTGGCACTGCATGGTTGGTTTGTTGTACTGGGGAACTGCAAATCAATTATCACAACATGCTTTATGACTTTATCTATACAGACCTACTTGGACACTCAATTTCAATATGAATGACGCAACTATCTCTAGAGTACGACGTCACTATCTCTGAAGTACGACGTCACTATCTCTATAGAGTATGATGCCACTATCTCTACAGTATGGCGTCATTATCTCTAAAGCATGACGTCATTATCTCTAGAGTATGACGTCACTGAAGGGATATAAATAAACCAAAGCCGCAGTGGCTGCTATTCATCCAATGAAATCTAATAGTGGAATTTAGAAGTTGATTTCTACGCAGAAAAGAAAACATCGGAGAACCCGAAGAAAAATAATTGAAGCAAAGGAGAGAACCAACGAACAACTTTACTAATATACCGAGTCTGCGGAACCTGGGTAGCGTTGGTAGTGAGGAGGCGAGCGTTCTTGCTGCTACGACATCCGTGCTTCATTGATGACGTCATTTCATTTTTTTTAATCAAATAAAATCATCCTTTTTAGTTTTATTTCTTTAGATAATTGCCCCCCCCCCCCCTTCCCTCAGACACGTAACAATAGCAGTTATGAGTTATCAAGAGAGCATAAATATTTATGCTCCATTGGAGTTATAAACTAGATTATTGTCCTATATGACAGGTAGATGAGACGCTATCATTGATAACAGACTCACCTTGGACCCGCCGTTAGACGATAACAAAAATGTTTAAGTAACAACACGACATCTAGACTCAGCAGCTTGTTACTGTCAGTGGCGAAGATGTTTGTGGCTGTAAAAACGGATCGTAAGATGAACAGTGTTAGTATTCGGCCAAGCTCGAAAAAGTGCTCTAGCAGTGGGCCAAATGCAGGATGAATTCTTATTATTTTCAGCGAAAATAGCTTTAAAATACGAAATGAAAAATTGACGTAAAAGTAGCAAATGTAGGATGAATTTAAGAGAAATATCTTCAAAAATGTCGCTATCTCTCTGAAAATGGAGAATAAAGTTATTCTGGTTTCATCGACTTCAGTTCAATTCGGTTAATTTGTGAAACGAATAGAAGGATTGTTCTTCAAGAGTCATAACGCCAAGCTCATCTAAATGTGGTTACATTGTTTTGTACTCACGTTTATCGTTTTTGCTATCAGCGTTTCCGTTTTTGGAGACCTAAATACGACAATATGGTTTAGTAAAAAACTCATCAGTATAGATAAGGAATACAGAAGCCAAAACAAAGATCTAAGGTTTAGTTCACTGAGAACCTATCCTTACCGCTGTCCTGTTTACACATTCTTGCAGTCTGTGACAAACTGAACTCAGCATTTGAGTTAAAGTTGCACGACATGCTGTTTTCGTAGCACTTTGATGCGCACGTATGTACGTCTCAATGCAAATCTATTTAAACAATTGATAGGAATTAGTAAGATGGGAGTTCCTCAAAGATCATTTTGGGATCAATTTAAATCTAATAATACTTGATAGTGTTTAAAGGTAATGAAGGTATGGTGTTCCTCAGGTACGGTCTTGGGACCACCAGTAGTAGAGAAATGCTTAGCAGTCCAATTCAATGAGAAGTACGAAAATTTTTATACACCAACATAGCATACTAGCATTATTATCCTTTAATATTAAAATAATATTAATTCATTAGTTACCTCAGCAATCTTGATAAGATGTTCACCGTGGACTTCGCACGAGGCAGAACAAGTGATAATGAGCAGCATCTACAAAGAAATATGTATATATGTAATATATATCATACACTAGCTTAGCACGTAAGCAGGGTCGGAAAAAAGTATTTTTATGACTTTGAAAAGCTCTTGCGCTTAGACCGTGATGGTGTACGAGCATTTTCATTGGCTGAGCAGTTATTCCATGCACTGTGATTGGTTCAAAGGATGATAACGTCATTTCCGTACTGTAACATTGTCGTGCCGTGTCACTCATGCGAAAAATCTGCTCTACGTGATACGATACGGTCACGGTTTGAATGAAAGATCTCCACTAAATGAACCAATTACGATGCGCAAGGTTTCTACTTATCCAATCAGATTACAGGGATATGATCTTGTCACGCTCGTGTCACGGGACGTCTATGTCTTCTACTAATCAGTAGTCCTACCTTCATCACCTCCACCTGCACTTCGTCTGACAGAGAAGGAGTGGACACCACTGCATTGATAAACTGCACCGGAAGTTGCATCTCTACATCCTCCTCGCCTTTAGACCGGAAACGCTCATCCGAAATCAGTTTCTACAAAATAAGGACGAAAAGGACTGAGTAAGAGTAAGACGACGTACTGATCACGTGCCAAGTCGCATTCACTCAGGAATGAATTTTCATCTTCATAGTTACCAAAATCCCAGGGGATTTTTTACACTTAGAAACTAATTATAAATAAATATTAACATTATTTTCGAGTTTTAATTTATTTATCGAAAAACCTTGGAATTTAAAAAGAAATCTAGAAAAGAGAGATAATTGAAAAAAAAGTGTGAGAAAAGGAGAAAAGGAGCTTCGATAAACTAGGACGAAAATGTTTTTTTCATTTTAAAAGTTTGTTATCTCTTTTTAATATAGAGCAGTTATCAATGACTCAAAAGAGCTTCGCAACATTTTACGCTAAAGAAAGTTGAAGTTGACTAAATTAGCCGGTTAGTTTGCCTATCGACCTGCTCACTCGTCTGGTAGTTGCATTCAAAAAAACAGGAGTAGAACGAGTACCCGTTCACACAACAATAACAGAGAAAACTACTTGAGTAAATTGAATTTTCCACTGAGTACAACAACAGCAATCATTAATAGAGAGTTGAAGATTCTTGTTTGTGTGTAAACGGCAAAAGTGAAACGTCAGTTGACCATTAAAAAATCTTTAAAATTAGTGAAAAGGATTCGCAAAAATCTCCAAGTAGTAGATAAACAAAAGAATATTTGTCTTTGTCGAGAAGGTTTGCAAAAGGTAAAGTGAAATGTAGGGAAACGATGAAGACGTGGTCACGTTTGCCGTTTGCGGGAAGGAAAAACGGGAATCTTAATCTGCCTATTACCAATAGGTTATGGGAAGAAAAGTTCTAAATTTTTTACAAAAAAATATCAAACATCGGGCAATTTTGAAACCATAAGTTTTATCACGAATTTCTATTTTTTATGTATTTCTCCTTTTATTAGTTTATCTGTTCACATAAAAAAAAGAAGGGTCTTATTTTACTTTTACTATAATTTGTTGTTGTTATTTTTCAAGAGAGAATTACTTTATATTTTTTCAGCGTATTTCAAAAATAAGAAAAAAAAAAGAAAGAAAAAATTGTAAAATAACAATAGTTCCACGTTTAGTTTTCATGGATAATTCGACATTAGATTCCTAAACAAAATAGAGTTTATAAAGGGCTATTTAACGGTATCTAAACTTTGAAATCCCGACACAGAACCGATGTATGGACCCGATCATTTATCGATTTCCAAAGAGTGTATATATGGCAGTAAAACAATTAGTACGGCTTTTATTAACCCGTATTAGAGGTATCAAACCTCTTAAGTCACTAAGACTGTCTCTCTCTCTCTACTTATAAATAATTCAGACTTATTTTCCCAAAGGTTAGGCTTGTAAAACATTAGGGAATAGACGTAATCTCAACTACCTGTCTTATACGCAGGTTGCAACAAAAAGAACCGGTTTGAAGAACGACAAAAACAGACCTTAGATATTCGTACTGTTTCTTTTGGGAATTAAAGACGATGTATTTTGATATTTTGATTTAATAGGTTTGAAAGCTCTTAAATCTGAAATCAAAGTCGAAGATTTTATGGGATTTGCTTTTTTTAATTTAAAGTTAAAATTCTTGTCGTCAGGCAAATAATCCCTTAGCAACGAGTATGAATTCAAAGTCGAAATAAAAGATAAATGTAACGTGTAAAATGAATTTTTGTAGTTTTTCGTCGGCTCTTTTCGGGGTTAATTTTAAGGCTCTAACTTGGTTTGATTGTGATCATTTTTGTAGCCTCTTTTAACACTACTCACTACTCCCACGTGCTTGCCTTGAATAATTCATCTCATTCATTTGAAATATTTGCTAAAGAAGACCTCGACAAAAACTAAGTTTTTATCAAACCCACAAACACAATAAAATCTCTATCCAACGTTTTATCATCACAAAGAAAAAACACTAATAAGTTTTGAATCATGTACAATAAATAAATTTAGAAAATAAATAACTAAATCAAGAAAATGAAAATAAATGAAGTGATAGTTTATATAAACAGGAATAAGATTAATGATTTTTAAATTGAAATACAAAAAAAAAAAAAAAAAAAATGTAAATTTTTCTTTAAAAAATATTGGATTTTTTCTTAAGAAGGTAGAATTTTGAACGGCGCAGAATAAAGATTGTTAGAGTATAGAATATGAACACGTAGAATTACAACATTGTTATTTAAGAATTTCCGTAAAACGTCTAAATTAACCCTAAAACGCTTTCTACACAAACCCCGGCGTGTACTAATGATATTTAAACACAGTTAATGCCTTCAAAGAACAGAATTATCAACGGTCATCTACTTTTGAAAAAAATATCAATTTAGCTTGATTAAGAATTTTAATTTTCGCTTTTCGAAACAATATTGGAATTAATTTTGTAATACTCTGGTTAAACCTCCATTGTTGCTACAAGGGTTGAAGATATCCTTAGTAACCAAGACAGACACGTTTACGGCCATTGATCAGGCGGTAATGAAACAAAACGAAAATGAATGACATATGAAAGAAAATTTATTTGTTTTGAAGTATTTTTAGAAAGCTAATTTCAGTCTACGATACCACAGATATCAGCTGTCCCTCAATACAATTTCATTATTACACTATTTCAGGAAATGTCACTTTCTCCTGAATTAAGCTTACATAAAAACACATCTATTATACGCGTGGAATGGAGTAGCTAAAATCTACTACTCCTTCGTTAGTGAAATATCAGACTTCGCAGACTAATAGCAAGTATTTTCACGTTTTACTCTACTTACTTGAAGTCCACTTATAGCATTTGCTGCCAGTTTGGAAGATCTTGATTCTAATGCTATTTTCAAAGGTAGTAAGCATCGTTCTCTGCAAGCAAGATTAATAAACGTAACATTCATTGATCAAGCTAAACGATCACTTGGAACTTCATTGAAGCAAAACAATTGGCTTCAGTCAAGTCTTCAGTCTTACATACCTCAATTCATAAGGTTCTAGAGTCCTTGTACCCGTGCGACTGAGCAGTAAACCATCTGGAAAAAGACAAGAAAAATTGCCGTGAAAAAATTACTCATTATTATAAAGATGGAAAAATTTTGGAATATCGTTCTTACCAGTGGCTGCGTTACATGCATCGCGCACGGATTTCAGCTTGCCTGACGTGGCGTCACGGGACAAAGTGGTTAGTACTTCCTCCATGATCGTTTACCCTTTACACTTATCCATTTCGATAGATACTTTCAAAAGTTATCAAATAACACCTTAGGAACAACCTTGTGGAGTTTTTCGCTAGGAATTCCTGTTCTTAAGAAATTGCCTACATTTCTTTTTCAGGGCAGCCCTCCACAGGTCCTCATTTTTCAAACAAAGGCAGCAAAATGAACGATGCGCGAAGCCCACTGCGCAAGTGTCTGCAGTTCAAAGGCTTTCTCGTAGCACCAGCTTAGGTTCCCGTCAATAATGACCATATTTGGAGGATAAACACATAGTTACCGGCTACTTCAGTCTCTTTTAACCTGTCTCTAAGTTCACCAGTGTTTTATAGGCGGGTAGCTAACTTGGTGCTTTCAATAACCTGATTTACATATTATACTATGTCTGTAAACGAACCATATTCGATTACCCACGAACTGAACACGAACATACGTAAGTGATTCCAAAGATTACCAAATCGATCTGTCTGCGTAAGAACGCATTGTTTAAGGCGTGGTTTGAAGAGTACTTAATTAACCATAACGTAGCCCAAACCAAAGTGTTCACGGTCAATAATTCGACTATAAACAAAGTTACAATTTTCTACTTCATACTTGACGTATTTTTAAAAATCAAAATTTAAGTCTCCATTCAAAATAAAAGAAGTTGAAAAAAATCTTTCGTTAAAAAGAAAAGAAAAATGTTAATAAATCAAGAACTGATTAAATAAAATAAAAGATGTATACTCTTGTACATTTTTGTACTATCAGGCTTGTAATCTGAGAAATAAATTTCCGTAATGATTTTCTAAATGATTCAATTGACGTATAAACTATGTATTGCAAAACACGTCTGAAAAACTAAAAACATTCAAGATAGAATGACATTGGATAGCTACGCCGATAGTTRCATGACAGCGCAAACAAACTTTTAAAAATCAGATAAAATCAAGAATAGTAGAAAAATAGTACGCGCGCGTAGTGGCATGGGATTGGAATAGAATGAGTACCCTTCTAACGGTCTAACCGCATGGGTCGATTGCACGATAGAATTTTAAAATACGAATTCATTGGATGCAAATAAAAAACAGCATTGAAATGGCTTTTTAACATTGCAATGGCTTTTAAACACTGAAATGGTTTTCTAAACACTGAAATGGGTTTTGACATTGAAATGGCTTTCGATGTATTCGTGCAATCCTATAACAATGTTTAAATACAGTTTCGGTACTAAGTTTCGGCTTACGGCAAGGATAAATCATCCTGTGTTCGTTCGTGCTGTAAGTCATATCGCATGTCTCAGTCAACTCACACGATGACCGTTTCCGGAAGTTTTTTATTTGTTATCAGAAGGTAATAATCAGACGCARTTTGTTAAGCGGACAGACTTATCTGTTATGTCAACTAGACGTACAGTTGTCTAAGCTACCGGCGCGCGAACTCAGAATTGCAATAGAATCATAGTATTCTTCAGGGGTGGCCTTCAGACGGTTCGGTTTGACGTAAATGATTTCTTAACTTTTTTAGTCTAAGCTACCGGTGCACGAACTACGAGATGCAATAGAATCGTCGTTTTCTTCACGGGTGTTATTATATTGATTTGATCTGTTTGACGCAAAAGATTTCTTAGCTTTTTTTCGAAACAAATATGCTGAAGATTAACCATTGAACTTTAATTGTAGAAAGAAGATGGCGTTACTGCCAGAATGTGAGAGAAATAATGACGTCAAAATGTGGGATTCTAAGATCAGGAAATGACTAATCATTTCCAGTCTAATATCAGGAATTATTATAGTATTGCACAAGGTTAATATCGAGTCGATAGTAACTAGCTTTATAGGTATCATATACAACGGATAATTAAGGCTAGCATTTACGTGTGTAAACATAGGCGGAGTTCATTTTGGTTGATTTGAATCATTTAAAAGGAATGCCTTTTGAATTTGAGACAGAAACAAAGACGAAAAGTTCAAGAACATTTTAAGGTCGCAAAAGGGATTATCTTCAACCATGACTGCACACAGGAAAAATTCTACGTCAAACAACGACAGCAAGAGGATCGCAGCCAACATGAAAGAGAGAGAAAGGGTTCAAAGAATGAACAAAGCATTCGTCGACCTCAAGAAAGTTTTACCCAGAACGGCTAGTGCAACTAAGATGGATCTTCTGTCTTCAGCAAAAGATCACATCCAGGTCCTTACTGAAGTGCTTCAGGAAGCTTGTGGAAAAGACATCAAGTCGATCCTGAATGAACACAAACTGAGGAAAATTTGTGGAATTAGAGCTAGTCAACTGACGCCTTATAAAAAAATTCCTGAAACCATCTTTCAATTTTCAGTCCAAAGTCCGAAGTCCGCGATTCCATTCCAAGATGAAGCTTCTTCAATTACAGATTTCATGAATCCAGAGAGTGCTACAAACGATTGGCTGTTCTTAAGCCCTCCACCTTTAAATTGTCAGAGTATAACCAGTCAAGTATTGCCACATGAGGGTCCTYCAGAAACTGTCTTTAAGTTTGCAGTCCAAAGTCCGAAGTCTACGATTCCACTCCAAAATGAAACTGCTTCAATTCCAAATTTCGTAAGTCAAGGACAAGTTACAGGTGACTTAGGCCTAATCATAGGTCCTCCACTATGTAATTCCCAGAATCATACTCAAGAATCAGTCAATCCACAAAATTTAATGCAGCCCTATGTCAAGCCAGAAACATGGAACCCTGAAGGAGTTATCTTTCCACACCACAGGGTGACCAATGGAGAAAGTATGAGCTACAGCACCAAAGGTCTTGGATTGCCCAGTATGACATGTGTAACTCTTTGCAATCCCTCAAACAGTCAGGATATAAATCAAATAAATAGTAGACCAGTGTTTCAGCCTACCTTGTTGGATGAACTGGATCAGTTCTGTTGTGAAGTATTTGACATGATGCCTCCAGGAGACAAGGCTTAGCTGTACAAAGATATTATTCATAGCTTACCTGAGTTCTCATTTGTTCATGCGTAGTTTAACATTGGTTTCTACAAAGAGCAAGAAAACTTTAAATGAAAATTATGTAAATATGACCCTTAACCAAACTAATAATATTCTAAGCCTATTTATATTTAAAGAAATAAAGCGAATTATTCTAAATGGCTATTTTTCATAGCTTTTCTATTCAAATTTCCTCATTCAAAAATGTTATGGTATCGAAATCTCACTCTTATTTGACAGTGCATCCAAAAGTATATGATTAGGAATAGCTCCTATGCTTTGAAGGGCTAGAACCATTTTTGAAAATTTTACTGCAAATTCCCAAGTTTTATTATTCATAAAAAACCAACACAGGAATCCCGCGCGATAAGAATAATTGAATCCAGAATCCAGATATATTTTACTTCATTTCTTGTCTTTGCCCTGCTATGGGCAATTAATCAAATGATCTCCAAAAACTACCACAACGAATTTTGAACAATAAAAACAAACTTACTGATTACAAACTACGTATTATTAAAAACCGGTTAAAGGCTTTATACATTGAGCGAACGACCTTGAATTGCCCAACGTCACAACTTCAAACATTATTCAGCCTCTTCGAGAATATTCCGTTAACTATAAAAGACAATACTCGTTTTATAGGTTAATATTTCCCTTACCTTTATTCTTTGGGTCTTGGACAGTATTTTAGCATATTAAAGGCGGTTGAGTAATAATGTTCTGGTTTGCGAGTTCAAACTGAGCAAACGCGCACTACATCCGGGAATGCTAGGTTGATTTCGCGCCAATATACAAAAAGGCTTTTCCCTCGTTTTGAATCTCGTGAATTTTCTTTATTTTTTCTTTTTATTAATATTATTTCCTACCATTTTTCTTTCTTCTTCTTTCTTCTTACCTTCTTTATTCCCTTTTTCTTTCCTTCTTTGTCTTCCTTTTTTCTTCCTTATCCTTTTCAGTTTTCTTTTCTTTCTTTATTTCTCTTTCTTGTCTTCTTCTCTTTCCTCATATTTTACTTGTCCCCATACCTTCCACTAAATCCTTCCAAAATTCTTCCCAATTCGAGAATTAAAATTACTAGTTCATTCAAAATGAGACTTTTTACAAGCACAAATACAATTTTTATTGAAATAAATTCAGCTTATAATGATATCATTTATTTAHAGTAGAGTGACCACAGTAAATCCGTGAAACACTAATTACTAAATAGTACAAAATAGTGCTAGTTAAACAATAGAAAACAATGGAATTTGCATGAAATTGTGCTATTTAGTATTACTAAAGTTTCACAGATTTACTGTGGTCACTCTAGTGGGTGATTTTAACTAATACATGACAGAAAAATTAATTTAACACAACTACAAAGCTTGTGATAAGATAAAATAACAAGAAAAGACCCCTTGCATGTAACCTCAAAGCAGCTCAATTTAGAGGACAAAACAAAAGAATTTCAATCTTATGATAAATGGAAACCTATTGTAATGTTTTCCAAATTGAGCTGCATTCCAATGTGCTTCAAGGGCTCTATTAATCTCTTAATGCAGCTGCTATTAGTGTTGTTACACAATGATCACTCCCCTAAGTAGTGACTTGCGTGACGACACTAATAGTGGCTGTATAGGAAACTAGGGGTCTGTTGGTGAAGCAAAAAATAGACACGATTGAGATGTAAAATACATATCGTTTTGTCAGTGTCATCTACTGGGAGCTTTTTTTATACCAGTAGTGCATGATGCTCCTTCTACTCAACTACATTTAAATAATGGGTGTCTTAAAGGACAAGCGTCCTTGTGTTTGTTTTAATGTACGACTTTCCCGGTGCATTGGATGTACGACTTTTCAGTTTCGTTTCGTCTACTTTCATCTAGTTAACTTGAACAACTTTTGTGAAAGCTAAATAAACAACATTTCTTTGGGAGATCAAGGAAGATGACTTTTTTTGACAAATCTCTTGTCATGTAGAGCTGTTCCCGCTCAACAGTGAGTCAAGACAGCTCCATATGTATCTTCCAAATCCGAGCAAATGACCAAAAAAAATTCTCTCTTAAAAAACAGCAGTGCTCCAACGATCAGCTTAATCATTAATGCCCAAACATAAACATATGCAAAGTAACAATTATACTTTTTAACAAAGATACTTCTTAAGCCTAAAAACTACAAGACAAAAAAAAAAAAAATACAAATAAAATAAAAACCAAATAAAAGGCTCCTTAAAATCAGCAGGAAACGCTTGGAATAAATTTGTTGTCGAAGCAATTTAAATTAAACATAATTTTCAAAACTGGTAGCTTAATTTGATTACAAAAGATATTAGAAACAGCATTTTAGGAAAAAATAAAGTTGCTTGTTATTAGTCCAAATTTTGTCAAAAACCAACAGCCTTGTTGGTTATAACTGTTACATGGTGAAGGAGATGAAAACTTGAGGGCAAGACTGTGCAACAGCACTTTAAAACAAATTTCACAAGGTAAGGTTATATTACGAAACACAAGCCCTTATGAAACATGTCTCACAAGCCAAGTTTCAGTTGCACATTCAATTCTTTTGCCAAGACGTTTTCACAAGGTGACTGAATTATGTAATGGCAAGATTAAGGGAGTGTGATTTTAAGCTTTTCCAGTGGTCTTCAAGGGTTTATGAAGTATCCATTAAAATAGATTTTCAAATTTAATTTTTTTAGAGGAGTTCAAAAAGTAATAGCAACCTTAGCTAGAGGTTTCACTATGTAACATCTACTCACTTCTTCATAATGAGCCATCTAAGTGACAGAGAATTTGAACTAATAACCAAGAAATTWAAAAAAAATTTATCATACAATGGGGTAGAATCAAGCTTCAAGCACCAGTTTTTGCTTCTCCAGAGGAATCTTGGTATCCAATGGAGGGGCATCGAAAACACCATCAAAATCACACTTGTCATCAAACTCATCCAAGTTAAACTTCTTTCCCTTGGCTGGAGGCTTGCAGCAGAAAGCACGGACACAACAGAATACAGTTGTTAGGCCGATAATGGTCAATAGAAGGAAGATTGACAGGCGTGCTCCGAATGGTAGGTTGTGGAAACCTTTGCAAATACTGTGTTCATACTGGTCAGTCTGAAAGCAAGCAGTTTGACGATCAATATTATTGAACCTCAAACGAGGATGAAAGGAGGCACTCCCAAACTCATCAAATTATCCCAGTCATTCTAAGTAATTCTACAACAGGTTGGTTAATGTAAAAGCCAGTTCATACCTTTCCACCATTTGAAGTTTTCTCAGAATGCAGTGGTTTCTTGGGCTTCATTGGTTTTCCCTGTTTGCGGAAGTGTTCCATGTCCTCCTTGGTAGCATGGAAAGGCTTGTCAGGAAGATGACCTACATGATCAAGAAATAAAATATATTTAGCTACTATCCCTTGTTTTTAAATTCAACTCAAGTACATCTTAAATTTTGATTGGCAAACCCAGATGCATTTAACAAATACACCAAACTAAACATCTATTTAATCGAACCATGAAACAACCTTTTGGCTTGGCTAATAAAAGTCAGGGCATAGCTAAATCACAGATCAAATTAGAATTTAGGGTATTGGACACCCTGGAGAAAACCTTCAAAACAAGAAAGAGGGACCAAAGAAAAGACACCAGAACCAAGAGAGGCAAAAATTTATTCTGCAACTATTTCTTACCTCCGCGGTTGTGTACATGGATATCACTCTTAGGAGCATGAGAAGTAATTTTGCTTTCAGCCACACGGATAATAGTTACTTTACGTTCTTTCAAGAGCTCATTCTTGGCTGAATCAAGCTTGATAACCATCTGAGTTACATCAATCTCTTTGACCAGCTTGCCATCAATTTCCACTATCTGGGCCTCTACATCAAGCTTATCAATATGGTTGGCTCCTACAGCCTGAGATCCCTCAATAACCAGGACACGAATCATGATTGGTGCAGTGTGATGACGCAAGACTTGTTTGCTCTGGCTGATTTCATCTAATGCCAGAGAAAACACATCAAAATTATCTAACTGTATTTCAAACATGGCAGAGTTATGACAGTTTCTGGAGCTACACAATACATATTTATCAAACCCTTCCTACCCCTTGGAAATTCAAATCCCCCTCTGTGGGGAGGTATTGATATTTTCTGGAATTACACAATATACTCTCCTCAGACTCTCTCTACACCCTTCGGGAGATATATGGATATTTGTGATCCCCAGACTCTCCCCACCATTTGGATATTCTAATTCCACTCTATGGGAGAAGATGGATATTTTCTATCACTACACAATATACCCTCCTCTGACCTTCCCCACATCTATTTGGATGAAGTATGGATATATTTTTCCAATTTTCTACAACCAGATATTGAGAAAGGGAATCATACCAATTTCAGCATGGAAGTGGAAAGCTGTAACGGCTCCATGCTGTGCTCTCAGGCCATTGACATGAATATTGCCTTCGATAACAGTCACTTGGAAAGCAACCTGTACAATGTCAAAAAAACAACATTGAGGACTTCTCTATCAAAGCATKATGTCTGCATGAATCTAAGAGTGGCATTAAGGCATGATTACATGGAGCAATTTTCTTTGCAACTTGTCTTGCAACGGCTTTGCAACACAAGTTGCATAGAGCATTACAATGTGTAACCTACCTGTACAACACAATTTTTTTTAAATGTTGTGAAACAAGTTGCAGCATTTGCAAAAATTAGAATTTGTTTCTACTTTTGGCAATGATTTAGTCTCTGTTGCACTGTGTTAACACTCTTGAAACTTGTGTCACATCGCTTTTGCAAGACAAGGTCCAGAGAAAATTGCTGTGTGTAATCATGCTTTAGGTGGTATAGCAGACTTGGTTGTCTTTCTCATGAAAAAAACCTTGATGATTTCATTATTGAAGTATTACTTATACATAAATCTAAGAGTGTAGCAGATGTTATTGTTTTCCTAATGAAAAAATAACATTGATGTTTTGTTATCAAAATATTTTGGTCTAGCTTGGGCACAAGCAACACCATATGAGGAATGGTGAAAAAAAGATGTCAAAAGATGTTTTTACCAAAGCTTGCTTATATTAGGAGGGGGCTAGGTATGTGCTGTTAAAACTAAACAAAACCTAAAACTTTCCTAAATATATCTTTCCCATAACAGAACAGTACCCAAGAACCAAAGAATAATTAATGACAAAAAATTCAAAGTTAACGTGTTAATTTATGCCTGACATGAGCTATGACGTCAAGTTTGTTTCAAGAAATATTCAAATATAGATTCCAAATATTATCTCTTACATAACATTTTATTTCTTTTAAGGGATTAAGGGATCTGGTAATATCTTAAGACAGATTTACTCAGAAAAATGCAAATAGTATTCTTAATTACATAACTTACGAATATATTTTTTCTATACAAAACGATATTATACTCCTACGCACTTAAATTAAAAATACTAAAGTCACCAAAACACACTTTTTTTTATACCACCTAAATAAATATATATTGTTATATCTGAGTGTTTTGTGAAAATTGAATCAATCCAGCGTCTTGTTTGCCAAAAATATTCATATTTGATGAGAATGATGAGAATTGTACAAAGTTATCATGAAGTTTACAAAGTTTTATTAGTAAAAAGCGAGACTAGAAATTTAAATACGTCTAGCATCTGAGAAATAATCTGAAGTAGAGTTTTACGTAYTAATTTGGAAGAAAAGGTAAAATATTATGTTGAAGTTATTGTTGACGAAGACGTCGTCAAGCGGAACTTTAAATTCAATGCATCGCTTCAAAAGAAAATTCGAGCAAAAACAACACCCTGTTTCGCTATCATTATGTCTAAAAAAACTAAAGATTTTACAGAAAAGTTCCTCATTTTCCATTACATAAGGTATATGCTTTTAGAGAGGAGAAGACAAGGTATTTTCTGTATTTTTACCTTCAAAACTTGAGCGTCTTTAAAGTTTCCAAGTCCATCTCGCTCGATCTTGGTTGTTTCTACGTTAATCTCAACTCGCTCCTGATTCTTTTTCTCTGATTCTGACACAGTAATCTTGGCTGTTTCACTCTTTTGAATATTCTTATCGTCACCTAGTGAGGCCGTTATCAAAATAAGGCTGAAAATGAGGGATAAAATACGGTTCATTTTGAGATAATATCACAATTCTTCTTCTTTGAGCGAAGCGAAGGAAATTATGCTAATGTCAGCAAGTTCCCGGATATCTAAGTACACTTAGGTCCATCATAGGTGCCTGTGGTTCATATTTTAACTCTTCCTCAAAAAAGGAAATGTTTTTAAGCACAACAATATCCTAACATCAGAATTTGAGATTAAAGATATATAGAAGTATGCTTTAAAATTTCGTGCTAAAACTAAAAAGTTAAAACTCGCGTTTAGCTTAGGTACATCATGGCCCCTAAATATAGCACCTTTAAAGTTACACTAACTTTAAACATTTCCAAACTACGAATAACCTTGTTAAAATCAAAAATTGTAAATRAAGCCAATATAAGACTATAAATTCACATTTCATGCGAAAAAAAGAAGAAAAATTGAAAATAATATAAAGGTACTAAATCAAAGTAGTGATTTCTGTACCTCCAAATAACGGGCTTTGGTCAATGTCACGCAAGATTTCATTTACGTAATCACGATTATAAGTCAGCAGTTTGTAAATATGGCGTCGCTAGCTAGGAATTTTATTAGGCAATCTATATCTCTTTCTGCACAACCTAGCAGGTTATTAGCTGCTAGAGGTGGAGTTTCGTATTTTATGAAGACTTTTGCTCGATGTAATTCAAATACGACTGATCCTAAAGGAAAACCAAAGCCTCAAACGTGAGTATCTAAGCCTTGTTACTCAATAATTTGCAAAGCAATCAATCAAGTCAAAAAAGACTAATAAATCTATCAGTAAAATAAGATTGGTCAACTACAACCATTTTTTTTAGTTTCAGAAAAGGGYAGAATTTCGTAACTTGTTATAAATTATCTTTATATAAAGTCTTTGCATCATCACGTGATGGCAGCCATGGCAGTAGGCACAACAATAGAGTATTTTCACCGTGGGAAACTGAATTTTCTCAAGTAAATCAGACTAGAACAAATTCAACTGTTCCTGCCTTGTGTCATAGCTGCCATCATGTGATGGTGCAAAGCCTCTATAAGTCTCATAAGCTAGGGACTAGTTCTCTCGTTTACCCCCCATGTATTTCTTATGCTATTTCTTTATCTTTGATGGATATATCTGGTGTCCTAGATGGAAAGTGTCGGAGATATGGCTAAAAATGGTGAAGGCAATTTCGATAGCTTTCAATGCATGCGTACATTATTTTTTCTGTTTACAGAGTGACAATCAGTTTTATTGACCGCGATGGCGACAAGATCTCAGTGAAAGGAAAAGTGGGGGATTCTTTACTGGATGTTGCAAAAGATAATGATATTGACCTTGAAGGTATTGCATTAAAACTGGTATTGCCTGATTGCTACTGAACTCTGAAACAACCTCTGGGCTGATTCAAGTCAGGGCATGGCTAACTCACAGATAGAACCCTGAAACAACCTCTGGGCTGATCTAAGTCAGGGCACAGATCACTCACACGTCAAACCCTTATCTAAGTCAGGGTGTGGCTCACAAATTGAATAGGAATCTATTTTATTGAGTTTCGTTGAGAGTCAGAATAAAAATTGAAAACCCTGTTAAAAAACCCTTGCATTAAGGGAGAGATGGAACCAACAAATTCTACTCACATGTGATGCTGAGTCCACAAATCAAACCTTTAAACCACAGAGGTGAGAGGTACTGAGAAACAAGTGCAACATTGATCAAAACAGTTGAAGTTTAGACATTTTATCTTACAACTTTGTGCAGGTGCGTGTGAGGGAACGCTGTCTTGTTCTACTTGTCATTTGATCTTCAATCAAGAAGAAATGGATAAACTTAATTTAGATGAACCTGCAGATGAAGAGCTTGATATGCTGGACCTTGCTTATGGGCTGACAGATACGTAAGTCCATCATGTTGTTATGCATTGTAGTTTAGTTGCAGTATAAACAACATCATATATGGCATGATGAATGAAAGGTGTTTGTACCCAAGCTAGACCGTGCATCATCTTTACTTTCTCATACAAGATCTAAATGTATGTGATATGATGAATTAGAATATATGATGACAGTGTAGATGATGGTGATGGTGGTAATATTGATGATTATGATAATCATGATCATGATGTTGATGATCATCACACCATCTTGATTATGGTGGTTATATTGATGATGATGACATTATCGATGATGGTGATGGTAGTTATATTGATGATAATGATGCTCTACATGTATGTGATATGATAAACGAGGAAATATGATAGCAGCGTAGATGATGGTGATGGAGATGGTGATTATGATAATGATGATGGTGATGATGGTGATTGTGATGATTGTGATGGTGCTGATGATGGTGATGGTAATGTTGATGATGGTGATGGTGGTGGTGATGGTGCTGCTGATGATGATGATGCCAGTGATGGTAAAGATCATGATTATGATGGTTATGATGATAAAATAATCTTTCTGAAATCGTTCCCCAGTGATAATGAATGATGCATCATGATGATGGTGATGATGCATGATTATAGTGGTAGGAATGATAATGAAGATGAAAGAAACTTTCTGAAATTTCTCCCATTAATGACTTTCATCTTTTTTATAATTCCAGATCAAGACTTGGATGTCAAATAACTGTAACCAAAGATTTTGAAGGAATAACTCTAACTATTCCCAAAGCTCACAGAGATGTCAGAAGTGCTTAAAGCAGCAATATCTGTACACTGACAGCACACTTAAATATCTTACACCCTTGACAATTCTTGTATTTAATGTAGTATAGTATTGATTTATTGTAGTGGGTACACATCAGCTTTCTGCCACCCACCCTGGAGTGGTAAATCCAACAAAAATGTCCTTTTTAAATCCATTCATTTTTGTACTCTTTTTCACACAAGGCTTAGTATTTTTAATTTACATTTTTGATTATGCAATGTCACGATGTTTTTACACATGGTAGAAGGTGTTTTGCTCCAGTGCTTCTTGGTCAAATCCTATGATGGAGAAACACCGGAGCAAGAGAACCTCTTGAACACAGTGAAGAGTCAGTTTCATGAGCAACAGACATTTAGAATGACTATTAGAATAATTACACCTCTCTCTCTAATGGTTATATTTCAAAATTAAGATGAAAACAAGTTAGCCACCATTGTTTTGGTTTTCAAAACTGGCACTTTTTCGTATTTAGTGGTCTATCACTAATATACCACAGTAGCTCAGCCAATCAGAGTGCAGGATTTGTGATATACCATCATTAGTCTGAGACTAAAATATAATTATTTTACAAGAGGATATCTTATGAATGTGGAAACAATGAAATTTAATACCAACTTTATAGCATCTGCTCATTATCCAAAGTCAAGTAAAGATACTTTTGTGAAAATTTCAAAATGTTGATTACTCTAAGATATTTATAGTCTTTTTCAAAGATCACTGGAAATACTGTCAACTCGCCCTCAGCCTAATGAGTGTTTTGGATCCCCTAAAGGGCCGCTAGTCAACTGATTAACAACCCRACTGACGGGCATCTCACAATATCTTTCACCACAGAAATCCGTACAACACTTGTAACCTGCACTGCACTCGTTGTCCTGGTCGCACTCGTTATCCAAATCTGCTTCCAGTGGGCATTCAGGCTGTGGGATGACTTCTGGGCACACGAACTCAGTATAWACCACTTCTTTAACTTCGTATGATATCACATTGATGGCCGGGATCTTAAAAGGAAGGTCACAGACTCGAATCCCGCAGTAGTTTTTACAGCATTTCAACCCTGGATAATCTAGATAAATGTCTTGGCACTGTTGGTCATTTTCGCATTCGTCTGAGGTAATTTCAGTTTGGCACTCTCCTGGGGGAAACACCTCACATTCACCGGGTACGACCAGTACGGGCGATGATGTGTTTGTCGGGGGGGTCGGCCTTGCATGGACGATGTACTCGGTGCTCAAAAACATGAAGACGGCGAAGAATAGGACAGTCACGTGAGTCATGCTGCTTGCGTTATTTTCTGAAAGCTAAAAATAGGTGGAAAATAATCAATCAATCAATCAAGACTGGAGCATATGAGTTTGATATACTCACTACCGACATAGAAGATGTCCAGAAACATTTTATGAAAATATACCTTTTAGCGCAGGCAAGAAACTACCATAAAAATCTGAAAATCTATCCGTGCCAAAAAAGCCGTGTTTTTTCCCCCTGAAAAATATCTTCTCAGTTTTACTACGGTCTTTATATCTATTTACAACAGACTTTAAGTCCAAATTTGCTAGAGAAAAGATCGAGTCATGGAAAATCTGGACACAAATGTGCATGCGATCTATGGCACTAAACCGGCAGTTCTCTGTTTTCTGCAAGTACTAGAACAAAATCTAATTTTGCCACACTCAGTTCCCAAAACTTTTCCTAGCTCTAATACATACAAATAAATTTGACGCACTGATTTAAAGCTAAGAAATTTCGTATAAGAAAGAAACCATTTCCTTACCTTAGTATTGACGATGCTGCTTGCGATGATATAAGACTGAAAACTTCACCTAACATCTCTGTGCTACAGCCCTCTATTTATATAAATTTTACTGGTTGATCTTTGACTTATGCATCAACAAGCCTCTTAGCAGATAACAGAAGCAGGACGTTCATGTGGTTGAAAAGATCAAAAGTCAGCACTTAACATGATGAAGTACGTAATGGGGTCAAAAAGCCTTCGTTGCCTAGAAGGCACTATTACGTTGTCTTTCTATAGTGATCCCTTGCTCCGCGCTACCATGTACGCTACGTAAACGCTAACTACGTACAAAAAAAAAAATTTGCTGGAAAACAAATGTTCTACCTAAAACATTATGTCGCGATATTTTTTATTATTGAAGTATTGCAAACTTTTATGTGTATATGCGGACCTTCTATTTTACGTCGCACGCAGTATAGTTTATTCCAATGATAATAAAAACATGCATATGCCCGTGTAATCTCATCCTGACGGAAGTACTTGAATGACAAACTAAAAATAAAAAGAAAGAAAAAGAAAAGTTGAAAAATACATTTATCTACGAATTACAGGCTAGACATGGCATGGATGTCACTCCAAATTTTCCCTCGACTGGCATAACGTCACTGCAAGAGAGAAGGTCAAGTCTTACTTACATTTCGGCACTTAATGATAATACAATCCTTAATGATTTCCGCTTACTAGAATCGTCCACACAAAACCTGTTGTTCCTTTCTTGCAATGACACCTGTAGTCAAACTATCGGTGACGGCATGGTCGCCCTACATTATGGAACACACGCGCAGACAATATCTGAAACACTGAAACTCGCCGATTTATAAATTAAAAATCGTCACTGAAAACGTTTTCAATCCCAGTCATTTTATTAAAAAAACGTACCTACACTTTTTCTATTATTAGCGCATCGAGGTGATATAGAATAATAATAACGGGGTTCTTRTATAGCGCATTTTACATGGTCTCAATGCGCTTCACAATCATGACCAGTGGAGGACTTTACGGGCTGCGTATTTAGGCGCTAGTAGCAGCCGTGCAGCTTACAATCATGAGTGATTTGTTAGTAAATTAGTATTAATGCCTCCACATTGGGATAGGGTGTTGAACCGGGAGACAATCCCCTACTCTTATACAACAGGTTCTTTTATGTCCCCCATTTTACCATAGGTTAGGAAGGGTTGGGAGACAGGGACTACGGTTTTAAGTCCTTGTCCGAGAAGACTTGAAGGTCTAACCATTTGCAGATGTAATTACAAAGGCAGCACCTTCTCCTCAGTTATTTTAAGACCCTGAGTGTTGGTCCGACCGAGGCTTGAACCACGACCTCCCGCACAACAGACCGACGCTCTTACCAACTGAGCTAGCCAGGTAGAATGTGCTAGAATATAGTCAGTAAAAAGATGCAGGGCTTCAACTTCCAGAGATTTCGGGTATTTAAAACATATGTTTTTATTTGCTTGTCAAGCTTGTTAACTGATTACCACACAATAAAAAAACTTATTCGACCGCACGTACCGACAAAACTAAAAGTGATTTAATTTGAATTCAATTGATTTTACTTAGCGTGTTAGGTTGTACGTAGGGAGGAAGACCGGAGAATCCGATAGGAATTGAAAATACCCAAAAATAACTATGTCCACATGTGGTGCCCAGTCCAGAAATCGAATAAATCGAGACACCATACCGCGCGAGAAGCAAGTGTATAGCATTCGTGGACTTGCGCAGATATTGTTTGATGCGCACGTGCGTGATCTAATACAGAACCTTAGCGCTCACGTAAATGAACTTCTGGAAATTAAAGGTCGAAACTAATCCATTACTGTAGTGTTGCCGAAATCGTTTTTCGTAGATAATAGCGGGCAAATAATAAAAAGACATGTCAATTACTACAATAACAGACTGCTGCAGCGTCAATGTACGTGCACTGAGCATGGCCAAGTCAAATCAGGGTCACATAACTTGCATTTATCCCAAAAATAAATCTCAATCTGTTACATATCTTGATGCATAAAAAGGTTTTTGGCCAGAAAAGGGCGGGGCTTGTCATGTTACCCCTTGCACTTTATTTCCAATAATCAGGGTAAAAAATAGTAAATCTTTCTTCGCTTGAGATTAAATAGACTATTATTTTGATGCAAATGTTTTTCATTGACTGATTTTAACATCCTGCTGGGGTTTATTTCTAGAGGTCGATCTATCGGCTCCGAGAATGTTCTGTGTTCACGTATACTGCTGCTTTTCAAAGCAATCACACTGAAATAGCTTCTGTCTAGATCTATCCATGAGTGCTTTTATTGCTAGTGTCCTACGCAGCCGCTGTTAGGTTCATGACGTAGAGATGGCCCTAAGATGTTTTGAATATCCGCGTTGATTTCTTAGAGGAAACCATTGAACTGTCAACATAATGAAGGCTTTCACTCAAGAATACTTGAGGATCTAGTGGGCAATTAGATAATAGATTTGGGGGAGGTTTGATGATGGGGTTATGTTGTACGATATTTATTTTTATGAGCAATTCCTGCATGCAAAATGTTTTTGCATTTGCTCGATATTTCTTTACCGAAAGGCCGAGAGGTTGCGATATGTTTTTTTGTAGGTGAAGTGCTTGCTCGATATTTTTAGGGGATTTACGCAACCCTGCCCCCTATCGCCCTCAATTATCTAATTGTCCGTCCCTTAATATATAGTAAAAATATAGTTCTAGCAAACACTTGTGCATATAAGCATAATCACATAAGCTTGATAAACTTTAAACTGTCTTGGTTTTCGAGCGCTGTGATTGAATAACTGCGCATTTTTAAAAATTATAAAATTATGAAATATTTTCCACTCAAGAAATACGTGCATCGATTCAACATTTATAACGTCCAACGGTCAGTTATCACGTCATTCTTAATTTAGTTTGCAAATATTGCATCTCAAAACCATGCCAGTGAATATTTGCAAATGAGAGCGTCAATATGACGACAGAATATTCCTGAACAACAATCGCATATCTCATCAGTACATCACCATCCTCACAATGATCGATGGGTGACCTATATTTGACAAATGTGCTTTGGCAAGGACCAGTTCTGAGTTACGCATGCGCAGTTTTAATAAAGTTGGTTGACCAGATATACCGATATATACTCTAATATCATGGAATGTTTTTTAAATAATTGTAAAGCATCGAGTGGCGAAGTTACCATTTTCAAATGATTTTACGCTCAGTTGGTGTTTTTTTATATCTATTTTGCCTCAACAAACTGTTGAGGAGAACTACAATCATTGCCATACTTAGTTGGCACGCTTGACAGATTTTAGTATTTTGGAGGGTTCTTCGCAAAACACTACCTAGGACTAAACCCCCCTCCCCCCGTACAATGTTGGGATTCCTGCAAGTTGGCAGGGGGTTGGCGAGTCTGATCAGGGGTACCAACTTTCTTTCAGGGAACAGCAACATTGTACAGTGGGGGAGGGGGAGACAGAGGAAGGCCATTTTCTGTGTTAGCCAAAATGTGCCATCGTGCCAAGTATCTTGGCAATGATCCTTCGGTATCCCATAATTTCGTATACTGAAAAAAATAGAATTAAAGATGACAGTCGTTTGCGTGAGCACCAGAACAGACCAGAGAATACCGTCCAAGTGCAATAATATTTTTGGTCAGCGGCGAAATTGATCTCGAATTTGATTGGCCGAGAAAGTCACACCATTAGTCCGCAAAAGATTTGCGATTAGATTTCTATTTTTACAACAAACTCAATAAATATACTCTTTTCTGCCTGGTCAAGATCTAGAGCAGTACAATTGATCCTCACCGATAACAAATCGCGTGATGACCTTGAGTACTGAGTAACTTAATCATAATCTGTAAGTCTTGTATTCCTTTACGGATTTTTTTTTTCAATGGTAATAAACTTGAAACTTGATTGATTTCTGCTGTGTTATAGTTCTTAAAAGAACTTTCAAATTAATCAATTATCGTACCCATTAATTATGAATTGCGCTCGGGTTTGTGTTATGTTGCATGAGAAAGTTGAGTGATTGTTGTTTTGAGAGTTCATAACTTTCAAAACATCATTATAAATTGCACTCAAGGGTCGTACGATTTCCTGTACGAAAAAGCCGATACATCGAATAAGTCATTGACCTTTCCAGTCGCAAGCCAACATTATCGGCTTGTTGGAGTAGAACATCTACAAAGGTTAACAAATTAACGAAACAACTTCTTTAGGAATATAAGTTGTACTTAAACCCTCTTTCCGGAAGGCAAACAAAGCGAAATTAGAAGCGCTGACCGCTTATGCAAAATATGCATTATCTTTTATAAGATAACTGAGTTCTAACGCGCGCGCGTGCTCTGATTCATTAAAATGCCATTCTAGCCCGAGAGAATCTAGAACATATCTAAAGGCCGGTTTAGACGGTACGATTTTCGCCTACAACTATTGTATACAACACGCTCGCGCCATCCTACAACTCGAGTCGTAGCGTGTAAATCAAGCCTACAACTCCCCTACGACAGACGAGAGCGTGTTGTATAGGATAGTTGTAGGCAAAAATCGTACCGTCTAAACCGGCCTTAAAATATCTTTACGAATTGAAAAGGTATGAAGACCAAACCAGTTTCCGTAAAGAATCTTGATTTTTAATGCATAAAAGGTTATCTGAAAGGTCTAGAAAAAAATCGTATATTCCGTGCGCACGCTCTTAATTAGAACTTTAAAAAATCAAAGAAAGTATAACAGCACCAGCACCAGCACCAGCACCAGCACCAGCA